ATAAGCCGGATCCAATTCGAAGATTAAGGAACAACACAATCAACATTAACTGAAATAGATAATTAGATAATTTTAGCTTATACCGTCCGTTATACATTAAACGCACACGCGAAAACGTATTCTGCACCTGCGCACACGAATATGCGCGGTCGTAAAGGTCTTACGCGCACGCGTAAACGCCTATGTGCAGAAAGTTTTTAGCTTTGAGGTCTGGATTATAGATCATTCCGGATTATGGGTGTCCGAATTAACAACTTTTGACTATAGTTATTATAAGTGTCCTGTTTGTATGAAGGAAATGAGTATGGTTAAACATAAATATCATTCAGATGGTTTTGTCACAAGAAAGGTTCATGCAAGAAATGTCACCACCAGTTTAGCACTACGGAGGATATTATTTGCTCTTATTTTTGTGAATTTATGTGGTGGCGGCAGTATGCATATTCTAGTTCAGATAATTTTAGAAAAGTTTTTGGATGATCTTAAGGAATTTTGTGTGTCACAGATTGAAGACACAGAAATTTCTAAATATGGCAAGTCGATATTTCCTTTTTGTAGTGTGTGCATATGTGATAACACGTACTTCCTTTTTTATGTTATTTCATTATGTGATTAAAAAATACAGTTTACTGAGCTTCAGATTTGCTGCAAACTTTACATAGACACAGAGTTACTGTAGTTCTTTGTCTTGTTATTTTGGTTTTGCGTAGTGGCCATCTTGAAATTGTGCCTTACTGGCCAGTTGCCAAGGGGAAAACTGAAATATAATTTTTACTGACACTGCATCTAATTTTACAACTAAAGTTCTGTAAAGACATAAAATATCTCTGGGGTTAATATTCGGATTATGGTAACTTGGCGATTTTTTGGCGACCAAACCCTGCTACAGCATCCTGCTAGTTTTTTTGGACGCCATTTTGTTTTCACGAAGTAAAGGCTTTTCCCCCCCTCAACATTTTTTTCCAACAATCTGCTAGCCGAATTACGCTTATGCCAGAACTTTTATGGAACAAAAGTGCTTAATCATGACGAAGATTAGGTGCAAAATTGGGAAAAAGTGCAGAATCGCCCATTGCTTGCCCCGTTTTTAAGAACTGCACATATACGGTATCATCCATGTACGCATCGACCTATTTTCACTTGAAAAAAATCCCAGAATTTCACAAAAATGGCATTGTGCACACACTTGACTTTATCCATGTACACTGCTAAAGTCCTAGCTAGTAACTTTTATTGCTTTACCAAAATGTCGCCAAACTACCTGTTACCATATTGCAAAGATTAGCCTTATCAGGCCTAAAAATCAGAAGCATGAAAAGGTATTACACATTTACATACATTACAGATTCTGCTAAATGCACACAAGAGCTATAAGATTATATAGTATAATGTTTTTCCTTTACTTGTATCACACGATGTGCTAATGTTAAATTTGGAATAAAATGTAGAAGTTCTTAAAGTTTTTAGAGCATAAACAAAGAATGGATTAATTTTGTCCAGCATAAATACAGAATGGATTAATTTGTAATGTTTTATCCACATCAAATGTGCAATCACAAAATCTGGAATTATATTTAGAAGTAATTAGACTAAGTAAAAAAAATTTTGAAATGCTAATTTGAAGTCACTGCCCCAGGCAATCATTATATTTGGTACTCTATATAAATTAAACCTAGTAGAAACTTAAGCACAATAAGCCTAGTTGTAACTTATGAACACAACTTAATTTGCACTCTTAAATGTCTGCTGATATTCAATTGGAGTTGGCCTTGTTTCTTATTGCAAAATTAATTTTAAACAATGCAAAATTCATGCAAGTATGCAAACTTCCACACAATGTTTAATTTTAACAATTTCTTTATTGTTAACTGACTGTGCAAGTTCTTAATCTGAATTTTAACTAAATAATAATACAAGAAAAGAATAAAGGAAGTTAGTTTAATTTGAGGAGAAACAAAAAGTATTATAGTTTTATGGGAACAGCTTTAGTATTGGTCCTTTTGGCGATTTTTTTATTTGGCGACAAACTTCGGTCGCCAAGGCAGACCCGGGTTTGAAGATCGGAAAAAAATGGCGGATTCTCAACAAAACCCGATCTAGACTAAGTAACAATCCTAAAAAATAAGCTCTTAATCAGAATAAACAGTCTTTCTCTAATTTTCAATATTTCTAGTACTGCTATGATAAATTCTTGAAACACTACTGTAAATGAATTTATGACAATTATTATGTTATGAGTAATGAAATTTACAAAATGTTAATTTTTTAATTACAAAATATAATGTATTAAACATTAATATTTTAAGTAGTTAGTTCATATTTATGTTTTTATTATATTAGTACTTAGCTAATATTTTAAATTTACAAAAGGTTAATTTTTATGTTTATGAATAATGAAATTTACAAAAGGTTAATAAATGCATTTCAAACTAGTATATGTTACTTAGTTTCTTAGATTCTGTTATTAAAGAAAAATAAAAAATATTTCAAAGTGAAGGAAATCAAATTCAATTATAATGGCAAGTTTTGTACCAGTGTTAGAAATATTTTTTTATGATTAAATATTGTAAATGGTAAAAATATTTGTTTAATCCCTCAATTTATTACAAGTAATTTATGATTATAATTTAAAAGCTAAAATTAAATTATCATAATGAGTAAATTTTGTACCAATGGTAATAATACAACAATCATCGTAAATGATGATTTCTGTGAAAAATTCAAAGTCATTGGAATCCACTAGTGGTGGAGTGATAGCCACTGAACAGTGGTAGTTCAGGCTGGCTATATGGGAGTTTTAGTAGTTTTCCGTAGATGTAATGTGAACCTGTGCCAGTTTCTCTTAAAAAGAACTTTATGAAGGCATCCTTCTTCTGCTAGCCAGCATATGTATTTATTTTTTATTCATAATTCTCTCTTATTTTCTTATTTCTTAATTCTAAATCTTACTTCTGAAGAGAAGAAGTGTTGCATCTATAGGTCAAAAAAATATGGTCAATATGTTTGCAAAATCCTGTCAGTTTTGGAAAGCATTTAAATAAACTAAATAATTTGTATGTGATGCAAACAAAAATGCATTACACTATTTCATGTACTGAATAATTAATCAGGGAACAAAGTATATTGTAACGTTCCTTTATTTTGTAACCAGAGTTATTTTATTCTTGGGATCTTTAATGTCAATTTCCTCCATCTGTTTTCTCACCAGAATCCAAATGAAGTTTTTATTTTATAAAACAAACCGTGTTTTGCCTTTTGAGGCCACATTAACAGGTTGCTAGATAAGAAAAGATTTGTAGTCTTTAGCCTTGCATTATAATTGCTGATAGTTGAATTCCATGCCAGTTAAGTTTTTCACCAACTTTGCATTAAATTGATTTGTGCAGCCTTTGGGCTACAAATTAATTTTAATTTAAATTTTACATTTGAACTTAATTGTTATCATAAGTTATCTTGCCACAAGTGGTTGACCGAGTCGTAAGTACAAAGTGTGCCTTCTGTTCTGTACATCTAAACTTTATAATAGAATAAAAGTATATCTTAACTTGATAAGAATATATCTAAACTTTATGATAATAACATTTAAAGACATTGAAATCAGTATCTAAGTGCTTGCCATGTAGTCAAATTTTTATATATAAATTGTACTCTTACTTTTATTATAGAGTTTTTATTACAAAAAATTCAGATTTCTATTAGATTAAATGTTTAAGTAATGTACAAAATTTGCATAAAATTTAAAATAAAAAGTCGACTGTTATGTCAACATACTATTAATAAAAAGTAATAATACTCAGTGAAGGTTATTCATATATAGCTTATTCATTGTGAGATTTACAAAATTTGATAACTCTAAATTATAAGCAATATATTCCATAATCTAAGCAACATTATATTTTTTATAGTCAGACAAATTATGAAAAATGTTATAAAAGCAATAATGAAACCTGATTTGAACCTATGAATTCATGCAATTATTACACATCCCTATAGTTCTAATATGAGGTATACAAGTATTTTTAGACCATGGTAATTTTGATCTCCTTAGCAAAGGAAACACCCAAGAGTATTACCTCATGCTACTGAAAATGTGTTTTTTTTTTTTCTTGGGGAGGGGGGTGGCGTTTATATAATATGCAGAGTTGACATATGAAAAATGTCAAGACTCATGTGATGTAATATTAAAAGCACCAGTTTTAACTATCAAAAATTTGGCTTTTTTTAAAAAATATTTTAAATGTTGTGCTTTCCTAACACAAAAGTAACTTTAAGAAAAACACACAATTTATCCCTCCTGCCATCAATGCTCTGATACCTATCAAATTCGTTAAAGTTACGTGAACAGAAATGGCGGCATGTTTGAAGCTCAGCACTTAGGGTTACCAAGGTTATCATAATTTTTCATTTATCGCTCCAAAATGTCGCCAAACAAATTTCTCGCCAAAAAGGACTAATACTAAAGCTGTTGGTCCTTTTGGCGATTTTTTTATTTGGCGACAAACTTCAGTCGCCAAGGTAGACCCGGTTTTGAAGATCGGAAAAAAATGGCGGATTGTCAACAAAACCCGATCTAGACTAAGTAACAATCCTAAAAAAATAAGCTCTTAATCAGAATAAACAGTCTTTCTCTAATTTTCAATATTTCTAGTACTGCTATGATAAATTCTTGAAACACTACTGTAAATGAATTTATGACAATTACTTTGTTATGAGTAATGAAATTTACAAAAGTTAATATTTTTAATTACAAAAATAATGTATTAAACATTAATTTTAAGTAGTTAGTTCATATTTATGTTTTATTATATTAGTACTTAGATAATATTTTAAATTTACAAAAGGTTAATAAATGCATTTCAAACTAGTTTATGTTACTTTAGTTTCTTAGATTCTGTTATTAAAAGAAAATAAAAAATATTTCAAAGTGAAGGAAATCAAATTCAAGTGCCTCTATATTATTTCACAAAGTGCTAAAGAAAATAATAAAAAAAAAGTCTTACTCTTTCGTTAGCTAAGTCCAATCGTGGTTGAATAAACACATCTGGTCGAATCTGGGAGTTAAATAAACTATACGAAGAATTAATGTTCTCAGGAATTATCAAAGGAGGTACTCGATGAGCATGCAACACATCTGGTTCCGAAATTTGACCAGTTTGGGTGTTAAATAACGTGTTTGAAGAATTAGTATTCTCAGAAGTTATCAAGGAAGTTCTTGGATGAACAGTTTGCACACCCAATTGATGCACCATTGGGAAATTAACCAAAGATTTAATGTCCTCAGAAATCCTCGAAATCATCACCTGATTTTGTTGCTGAACAGTTACCTCAAATGCTTGCACCATTTCGGAATCACCAAAATTATCAAAGTTCTTAATTTCACTTTCCATACTTTCAAATAATTGGTATTGCTTACAAGAATTGGCAAGATTAAAAAGTTAACTTTAAAGAAATTTCAATGAACAATAATGAATCAGTTCCTTACACAATTACGTTTTTAGAGTGCTAGATAAAAGTTGAAACATTAGTTTGTACCCTTCATTCCGCTTCAGACATACATAACTTCAATGCCGCAATCACACATCAGAAATGTTCATTCAGAAGCAGCGTGAGTTGAGTTGAGTTGATCATTGAGTTCCTGAGCAGTGAGCATACTTCTCAAAACTCGTATAATTTCTAACCCCTTACCAAAGAATTTGTTTACTCTCTAAAATAAGAATACTTTTTAAGAACCCCACTTGAAATAATTTTTTTAATTTTTTATTTAGATAAGGGTAAATGAACATTATACTTTAAGTTTAAAATAAATCAATGCTTAATATTACTGACTGAATAACGTTTTGATGTGCTGCCATCTACTGGGGAATTATGATACTTATTGCTTAGAAATAGAGTTTGCCTTGTAATTAAACAATTTGAAAGCTAGTTTGGTATTTTAACAACATTTTAAAATCTACACTTACATTGATAATTAACCAATGATTATTCTAAGTTAAATTTTAATACTCTATTAATCAAATTTACTCAAAAAAACATTCTAAAGCCTACTCGAATCAATATTTTTGATATTACTAAGGAATTAATTTTGTAAAAACACAGCTCAATTTATTTTACATACAGTTAATATTCCTACAAGAACATTTTTTTACATGAAACATATCTGAGGAACTTCAAGTTCTCTATCGCAGAAGAAATTAAAGAAATATATTCTAAGAGGTTGGCCAGAAAGGAAACATCAGGTGGAACCTCAAGTCAAAGTCAACTTACGGCCCTCTACCGGCAACGGTGGCTATTTATGCATATTACTAATCTGCAAATGTATTTCGAGACATAGTTTGAAATAAGATCTCTTTAAATGAGTGATAAAAGATCCTGTGACTGCTGTTCTTGGTATGAAGCAATTCATGACATGTTATGCCATCTCAGTCTCATTTTAATGATTTCTTTTTGTAAATGCATTTCAAGTTGTATTTACGGCTTTATAAATTGACTGCGACCTGGGTTTCTTATGTGAATATTATTCATATCTTTGTTCTGTATCTCCCCTCCAAGTTTGTACCATGAATTTGGAATCACCTTGTATACGCAATTTTCATTCAATAGCCATGCACGATTTTACACACATTTTCTGCAAAATTATCAAGTGTATGATTTAATTTTTAATATCATATTCGGCTTTATAAATGGTTGTTCTCTAGTTTCATAATCATCAAGTAAAATCCATAATATTTTGAACTAAATTGCTAAATTATAAAATGTTAAATTATTAGGTAAAGACTCAAAGCATTTTATCTTTGCTATTGCAAAGATAATTCACCTATTAGGCCTATTAGTCTAACCATCTATTGACTAACCACCAATTGGACCTATTGGCAATCATTTAACCAGTGCTTAAATTGTACCGGAACCCAGAGGACTCCCCCAGGTTCTGTTATTTCTCAACTTTTGAGTTAAAACACAATAAAAGTGCTTCGGCATTTCTTTTATGTAACTGAACCACAATTTTAGCAGACGAATTTTATTTTAGAATAAATATTACTTAAAAACGACTCTAACTTCTGACTGTTTGCCTGTGACGAAGGTTGAGACTTTTAAAGACTTTATGAATAATACAACCTAGGTTTGTTCTCATGTCGATATTGGATCTTTTGCCCTTTAGCATTCTGTTTGAAAGCGAAAATTACTTTGGGAAGGCATTGCGATCAGAAAGTTTTAGATTCTTCTCCTTTTGTTTTCGAAGCAACGCTTCTCTGTTCAAAGTCTCTGTACTCTCATATTGTTTCTAGCATTCTTTCTATTTTTATCAGCGGCCGTTTAGTCGTATTACCTTTTTACTTCCATGTACGAAAGAGAGGAAATACCATAATTCCGAAAATGTTCGTGTATCATATTTCAACGGAAATGTTCATTTTGACCGTTCCCAAACCATTCTGACTATATTTTTACGTGACGTCTGTACGTACGGACAGAATAATGAAATTGTTGAAAACGTATCGTAAAATGAATTCAGAATGGATATTTTTAGTATTGTCTGTTATTTGGCTTAAAAGTCCTTACCCGGCCTTTATTTTTGCAATCGTTGATCGTAGTGATATATTTCCAGTTGTAAACGTGTTTTAAATGAATAAAATATTTATATTTATATTTAGACTCCTTTCAGACGCGTATTTCCAAACCCTACCCCACTTTTCGAATTTTTGACGTCATGGTCAAATCGACTAGTTTCGCCTGGATGTAATTCTTGAGATGCGCTGAAGGCGAATGTAACATAAACAAACTTTGCTTGCGCTTGTAAACAATATAAGTATATTGTCGAAAGTGTATTCGTTGTAATTGCATAATTTTACTGTTTCTGTAATAAGAAACTTCATTCAGATAAAATTTATTTTAATATTATTATTATCTGGTTATAGGATTATACGAAATAATGCTGAAACTCTAGGTACTATCGTAATCTTCGCATAACCTTACATTAGATTTGCTTATCATTTTAAAATAAATTGTATTATAAAGATTAAATCAAGCAAATTACTTTGTTAGAGATGTGAATGTTCTGACTGAATTTTCTTTTTATCACTTATTATTTATTTCCTCTTTGAAAACAACATTCATATTGACAATAATTATTCCGCTTTAAATTTTTTTGATTGTTTAAACTATATTTGTCATAAACGTAAAAAACTCACTAATCTAGTGCTTCAAATCAATATGACAACGAATTCAAAATGTTTTAAAAACAGTTCTTTAATTTATTTTGTAGTAGATGCAACTAATGTCACAGAGAAAAAATATTCAATAAAAAGTTCTCCTGTTAATTCAATAGCAAAATTATTTCTATTTCAGTGAAAACCACTTTCAATGCTTATATAACAGAAAAATGTAACATAAGCTTTTTAGAAGTTTTAATAGAAGCTAAAGTTTATTTACAATTTTACGTAAGAAACGTAAATTTACTTTCATTCCTTTTGAACGACTATTAGTTTTTAATCAACTAAAATTTTTGGCATTAGAGACTTAACACACAGTATTCCGTCACTTAAAATATCAATTAATTGTTCCTTTTTCATTTTGATACATTGGAATTGAAACAACCAAAGGCAAAATGGTCACAGATCCAACCTAATTCCTTATTTGGAAATTTTTTTCAAAAAACTTTCTGTCAATTTTTATCACATGTTGTTTTAAACAAGAATCTGTATTATTTTCTTTATAATTGTGAAAAGCATGTTTCTGTTTTTTTTTTTTTTTTTTTTTTTGTTGTTGTTCAATTCTCCTTGCCAAAGTTTTGTCTTAGTTTTAAAAGCTACTTAGTACAAACTGCGACACAGTGTGTGTCTAGGTAACATTTTTTCAAATGTCTGTTAATATTTCAAATATTTTCTCTCCATTTGCTTTTCCTTCCCAATTTAAACATAAAAAAATATTCTACTGCGTTATTTTCAAAAACTATCTCACATAACCGATAATTGAAAATTTTAGTAATGTTCGGTAGTTTCAAGTTTTATAGTAAAGACTGAATTTTGTATTCTATAGTGTCTGATATGACAAAAAATTTGGTGAGAAACAGTATCTTTTTTAATGTTATTGTTTTAAATCGTTACTATTTTTTCTGCATGCA